CGACTAGGCACTGCAGGGCGCTACCGAGCACCACAATAGGCAACTGGGTACAAGGACGTGTGAACTGATGTTGGCTGGCGTGAACTAGTACCACTCGGGCACTGTCGGGCGACCCTGACGGCACATGACGCTTGGGCGTGTTGTCGGACACTGCCTGAGGCCGACTGGCGTGCGGTTGAACGCATCACATGCACTGGGACGTGCCGGTGTGCTCTGGCACTTAACCGACTGTCGACTGCCGCGAGAAGAGGCTGTACGCGATGCCCAACCGGGCATACACGCCCATCACCCGCTCGACTGCCTGACTACCCACGCGCTGTGACCGCTGTGTGCGGTCATGGCGACTACGACCGGCCCCTCGCCGGCCGTCCGGCTACTTGCTCCGACAATCATAACATGGATTAACATAATTTAAGATGACATGAATAAATACACATAAATCATTCGGATGGCTATGAACATAACTTAATATGACCGATGAGAAGTGAACGGTCGTGGCGTGCGCGACGTGCGTAGCCCATGGATTCGACCGATTCTTTCGACCATTAACAAGTTCATCCGAAAATTAAGACGAAACTGAGCTTAACATGACATATAAGAGCCATTAGGATATGAATTGTACTAATGTTGTCGGACATAATTGAACATAGCTCGATGACTTATATGGCATAACCGAAGGAAACATAGCTACGTATATGGGCTTAAATACATGATTTGGACTTAGCATGATCATATAATCACAGAAATAAAGTTAATATGGCTGTACCCTCTCAATTGCTCGGTTAATAATACGTGACTTGCGTGTGTCCGTAACCTTACGTGCGTGCATGTGTATATATGCGATACTCCTTCTCCTTGACTTGCTTAGCTTAATTCTATGATAACTCTCTTAAATTTAACTTAAGAATACTCAAATAGCATGACTACTCTCACGGTGAAATCCCTATAAATATTAGGAAGTGAAAATAAGATGAAAAAAATGTGGCCAATAAGCTCTTGCCAATTTCCGTTCATAAGGAGGTCTTGGTGGCTTTTTCTTGGCTTAGTCATAGGTTGAGGTGGCATTCAATGACTGGCACTAGTCATCACTTGAATTACTAATAATTTCCACATGTACTAATGAAATGATAAGAGTACATGAACATGCCCATAAACTCTTGGCATTTAGCACTAGGAATGGCTTAAGCGTGCATTATGTTAAGCTAATGAACAATTTAATCATGGATTAACTTATGAGCTTAAATACATATAATTTATTCCGAGCATAAACATGAAATTAATTATTGACCGAACTTTAATAATTTCGATCAAAACTTGACTTCGAAAGTTAATTCGGATATTCTTAACTTTAAATAATTAGTCGATAACGATCGATATAAAAGAAATATTTCAGAATTAAACATATAATTTACATTAATAACTAAACGGGTTATTACAAGCAAGATATTTGTAGAGCAATTGAGGTGTTTAGAAACATGGGAAATTATGATAACAAGTTTGTAAGTTCACATGTCGATTTAATTTGTTTTCATTAAATATGTTTGAAGTCAATTTCATATCAATAATAATCTCGTAATATTTTTTGTATGTTTTTTTTCCGATTTGGAAAGTTAGTAAGCAGTCAGATGGAATGAATATGGATGAAAGCATCTCCAAAGATTCTATTTAGCGTGACTCAACCACAGCGGTAGATGTAAAAAGAAAGCTCATTGAGCATTTAACGATTGTTAATCAGAGGGTACCTGGCATAATGTCTTTGCTGAAAGGTAATCGAGAGACAAGTGTAAGTTGTGGAGAAGATGACGATATTATGGGAACTGAAAATGGAAAAGATAAGACGGCTGGGCAGAAGGGTACCTCAGATTTGTTTGCCGAGACAATGAAACCGGTCAAATTGGATTTTGATGCTTGCTCGGCGGATAAATGCACTCCCGACCAGTCTTCCAACGAGGGAAAAGACATCTTTCAATATTTTCAAGAAATAACGGTTATGGATACAAATGCGACCGAGTACATTTTCATGCATAACGGGGATGTTTCGTAAGCAAACGGCACCACTGTCTACAACATTTTCCTTTATAACATTTTCCTTTACAATTTAAACGACACCGCTACATTTACAATACTATTTAACAAATGTTTTTGTTCAGGCGCACATTCTTGGTCGAGTATGAGGGCTGGATGATCACGAGAGCAGAGATGTTAACTGTTGAATATTCCCACTAGTTGAGCAGTCTGGTGCGTAATTATTCATAAATTTGTTATCTTATTGGCTCAAAAGTTGAAATAGATTCATAAGTAGTTCATTATCTGTGTAGGTCATTGATTTTGTTGCCCTTCACGTGACATTGAATCGGACACCAGAAGATAGTAATAAATGCAACTGGGTTTTACCGGCCTCTTTCAGTGTGAGACACATTATCATTTTAATAATTCTCCAATGTAGTCTAGCTATCAATATGTATGATCATTGCAGGGCATGGCTGTCACGTTGCACAACGACGCATCAATTCAAGCAAGGTTCTTTCGAAATAGATTATTCAACGGTCGTGCGGACGAATGTGTTAGTATAACGTTGCCGATATCGGATGACAATATGCATTGGTACATGTGTGTTGTTGATATTGAAAGATGTGTTGTTCGAATATGCGACACCTTACGTTCAGAAGGTACAAATAAGCCCAGGATTGAAAAAGCGAAGAAAGTGGTAAGAAATATTTTGTTGGTTATGATTCATTTGACAATATGTTCAGTAATGATAATGGTAATGTTATATTACTCGTGACTAGATAATGAGACTAGAGGGGATTATCTCTACGTGGGATGGGGATGAGTTCATTGAAAAAAATATGGCCAACATGTACAAATATATCATCGACCCAAGTGTTCCCCAACAACCGGTACCGACATTAGCAGTTTATATATGCAAAACATATTATTTTGGCCTTGTTACCTATGGTTATATGTGTTGTATTTTTCTAACGTTTATTTGGTTACTCGGCATATACGATTGCAGTCTCTATGTGTGTCTTCAGATGTTATGTCATTCCACTCCATCTACTAATTTAATTTGGCGTGCACTTACAGAGGTAATGACACATTAGCAAGTTGTTTAATTTGAAGATTACAATAATTATTTTTATTTTTATTTTTATTAAAAGGATGAATCTAATGAAACAAGGAAGAAGATGATTGTCACTATTTACACAGCCAAATACAACCAAATGACAAGAGGGTACGTAACACGTTTTCTTAACCAAATAACAAAAACCGTTTACGATCATATTTAAAATTGTTATCCCCACTTATATTTAATGTTGCAATATACTGTATGCATGCATGTATTTTCTTAGGGCTATGGTTGGTTCTTCATTTCTTCCCGGCATATGGACAACGAAGTCAACGATGCATATCTTATGACTCGAGAACGGTAACTATGGACACCCTCTCATAACTATTGTGGTATGCCGGTCCACCACCGTGCGAAGAGGCTGAGGCTCTTTACTATGGATGTCAACCTGATAAAAGGTTATCTTATGACATTCCGATTATGACGACTGATGAATTGCGAAATTATGTATTACGTTACGTGTCCAGTGGTCGGACGGTCATTAATATCGAAGTTGACTGGGTTTGACCATATGACCCATCTGATCACATTGAATCGTCATTTGCAGTTATAAATGACCGTGATTTGTGAGGATAATTTGAGACTTTTTTGAGATTACGTTGCATGACGAATTCCTGATTTTATTACATTTTTTCGTGTTTATGTTCGTGTAATTTCTTATTTTTGAATTTTGAACAAATGGGGTCACACCAAATTAATAATACACAAACAAAAATAAAACACATACAACAATGATTGCAAAATTGGTCATGAAATATTTATATAAAATGATAAATTTATATTTCATGTAAATCAATAAAAAGGAAGGCACGAGAATATTATTGGAATTCAAAATTTTAAATGAATATCATACCGAAAATTTCTATTCAATTGTTAAGTTGTACCAAAATTTTTAATATAATCACATTAACATTTATCTTGTAGTAAATAAAAATATAAAATGTATATTTCATGTAAATCAATAACAAGGCAGTTCACGAGATAACTGGAATTAAAAATCTTCATGATTATCATACCATATCAATAATTAACTACCTATTTAAATCCACTAAACCACATCTCTTTTTTATGTTGCATTTTATTTTTTTGGAGATTTTAAAACAAAGTGAAGAACGACACTTGAATTAAAAGTGGAATACGAATCGACAAAAAAACCTACACATTGATATCTACTTCCTCTGACGTGAAATACAATACATTATCGGGATTGTTGATCCACAATCAACATACAACTGTTGTCTTCAAAAGATTACAATGGTAAATCACGAAGCAGACGATGACGAGAAAAATGGTTTAGACCAAAAATTGCGGGATATGTCGTTCATTTCGTGGGAAGACGCAGAAAAATGGTACGTAAATTATGGAAGAAATAAAGGGTTCGATGTTAGAAGATCAAGTTGCAAGACTACAAAGGAAGGTGTAGTGAAGAACAGACAATGGGAATGTTCTAGAGCAGGTTATAGATGAAAAATTATAGAAGGAAATCAATCAAAAAGGGAAACGCCAAACACGAGATGTGGTTGCGCCGCTACATTTCGTGTTGCCCTTCACACTGACGGTGAAATTGCATTGTACAAGGTCACCAAATTTGAAGATTCACACAATCATCCGTTGGAGAGTGCGGAAAAAGCACAGCGTCTGAAGTGTAATAGATAATAATTTTCTACATAATTACATTGTGCAATTAATTTTTATTTTATTTATTATTATTGTTTTACGGACATATTTTAAACAATTGTAATTTATGTTTTAGAAAAATTACGGATAATGAAAAAGATTTGTTGACGTCAATGAATGATGCCTGCATTCGAAAGTATCAGACCTTAAATTATATACAACAAAAGTCCGGTGTTGGTCTGCATTACAAAAAGAAGAAAAATGCATACAACTTCCTCATGAACACCAGAATTGATACAATGCGAGCATGTGATTTAAATACTGCACTTGCCATGCTCGAAGGAGGGAGGATCATGTTGGGACCTATGAGGATCTCGATATGCACAAATCACGGATAAACATACAACATAAACCTATGCGCAGCGGATCTAAAGGTTTGATGTAGAAAACTTACGGTTAAAATTTATGTAGATCTGGCTGGCCCGAACAGATGACCGCAAATAAAATCTTCTCGGAATCGAACAAACTTGACCAATCGAAAAAGCTGGCGTCACGGCG